CCACATACTTTCTAATGCATGGGATGTTTGACAGAAAAACAAAAACTAAAGTTAGTGAAGTGCTGAACTTCAGTGTCAAATTACATTACTAGTCAATAACCACAATAACCTCTAACCACAGTAGTTAATAACCTATAACCACAGTAGTCAATAACCTATAACCACAGTAGTCAATAACCTATAACCACAGTAGACAATAACCTATAACCACAGTAGTCAATAACCTATAACCACAGTAGTCAATAACCTATAACCACAGTAGTCAATAACCTATAACCACAGTAGTCAATAACCTATAACCACAGTAGTCAATAACCTATAACCACAGTAATCAATAACCTATAACCACAGTAATCAATAACCTATAACCACAGTAGTCAATAACGTATAACCACAGTAGTCAATAACGTATAACCACAGTAGTCAATAACCTATAACCACAGTAGTCAATAACCTATAACCACAGTAGTCAATAACCTATAACCACAGTAGTCAATAACCTATAACCACAGTAGACAATAACCACAATAACCTATAACCACAGTAGTCAATAACCTATAACCACAGTAGTCAATAACCTATAACCACAGTAGTCAATAACCTATAACCACAGTAGTCAATAACCTATAACCACAGTAGTCAATAACCTATAACCACAGTAGTCAATAACCTATAACCACAGTAGTCAATAACCACAATAACCTATAACCACAGTAGTCAATAACCTCAATAACCTATAACCACAGTAATCAATAACCATAATAACCTATAACCACAGTAGTTAATAACCACAATAACCTATAACCACAGTAGTCAATAACCACAACAACAACAAGGGTGTTGAAAGCAGTAATGTTACCTATTGTTTACTCAGGTAGAAAAAGTTGGACATATTAATAAGTGGTCTCACAGGTAATGTTATATATTAATGAGTGGTCTCACAGGTAATGTTATATATTAATGAGTTGTCTCACAGGTAATGCTTTATATTAATAAGTGGTCGCACAGGTAATGTTTTATATCAATAAGTGGTCTCACAGGTAATGTTATATATTAATGAGTGGTCTCACAGGTAATGTTATATATTAATGAGTGGTCTCAAAGATAATGTTTCACATTAATGAGTGGTCTCACAGGTAGTGTTTTATATTAATGAGTGGTCTCACAAGTAATGTTATATATTAATGAGTTGGCTCACAGGTAATGTTTTATATTAATGAGTGGTCTGACAGGTAATGTTTTGTATTAATAAGTGGTCTCACAGGTAATGTTTTATATTAATGAGTGGTCTCACAGGTAATGTTTTATATTAATAAGTGGTCTCACAAGTAATGTTATATATT